GTTCTTAAGTTGAATCTGTATGTAAGTCAGAACTGGCGTCCAGATTCAGCTGCTGTTGAAACTGATCAGTTTCATCAGCGGCTGAATCTGGATGCCAGTTCCGACTTACATACAGATTCAACTTAAGAACAAACCTACAGTCCCTATCTTGTACGTAACCCGGGGACTGCCTGTAGATGGTATCATGAGCTTTTGTGGGTACAACCCACTTCCTCAGATGATACTACTGCGTGAGCAAATTTCCCAATCTTTTTAATAGTAGGGGGAGAATGTGGTAATGAATGCATAAGTCAATCAGATGTAAATGAGACTAAGACAGTGCAATTAAGGTGTAAAAATCAAATCAATCTCTCTCTCTCTATATATATATATATATTTTAAAAAGTTTTTCCTGAAGGACAGAGCGACATCACCACATCACTCTGCATCCTGCCTGCCTTCTCCCGCTCTCCCCTCCCCCATATTGAACTCAACCTTGCTGCTTCCCTTTGCCACTTGGAATTGCTATTTTAAACCAAGACCCTACTCCCCTTCTGGCACCTCCACCCTGCAGGGCTTTCAATGCCAAGAAACATTGCACAGTAGCCAGCAGACGCCACATTGCAGCTGAGACAGCCCAGTGGTGGGAGGAAGAGCAGCCCAGGGACAGGCACTAGGAGTGGGGCTCCCAGCTGGTCTTATGTGTCAGCAGCAGGTTCTTGGGGGCTCCCCTGCTGCCAGGCTCTTGGGGAGCCAGAGCATGGTGCCCAACCACCCAGAGTCTGGTTGCCCCCACAAAGACTCACTCCCTCCCTAGCAGTTGCACTTACCATAGTGGTCAGAGCACTCCTGCACCATCCGGAGGAGCCACCGCACTGACCTGTCTGCTCCTTCTCTTCCACTCCTGGTGAGCAGCTCTGAGCTCTGCGGGCAGGGCTAGGGCACTGAGCAGTGCAGGTGGGAACACACACGGGGGAGGGCAGGACACTGCTGCTTTCCCCACCTCAGCAGGCTGCACTGCCCCAGAGCACCACATGCACACGGCACTACCTGTGCCCCACACAGGGCGGGTAGGCACCCCTGTGTCTCCCTGGCCGCCAGGGTTAGAGCCAGGCCTGATGCACACTGTGCCCCGGGTGGGGGGGGGAGGGAGTTAGGATGGGCAGGAGGCTGGGCTGAAAGGAGGGGGGGGGGAAGGGAGAAGGGGCCCAGGATGATGTGCAGACAGGGAAGAGGCCTGCCCTCCCCAGTGGCCAGAGGGGAGAGATGAGGTTGTCTACCACTCACGAGATGGGGGCTGGTGAGCACAGCGAACAGGGGGCACAGCCTCCTAGTATAATCTAATACCCCAACTTTCTTACAGCTCCAAGACCTCCCTCTCCATTGGGCAGAAGCTAGAGACAATAGGGGGGCAGCAACATGACCCCAGATTTTTGCCAGGTCTTGCCTGGCTCCACTCAGTCACATGCTACTGCTGGACCCCCTCCCTGCATGACAGCTGCTGGAGCCAGGGAGCTGCAACCCTGGGGAGAGGAAGGGGCCAAGAGCTAGCAGCTGAAGGGAAAGTCACTGTTTTTGCTGCAGCTGTTTTACTCAGGGAGCTATAGCTGTGGCCCTTCCCTACAGCTTCCAGCTGTTAGCTCCACATGGAGAGGTGGGGGCAAACACCTGGAAGCTGCACAGAGGGACGGGTGCCAAACTGGTGAGGTGGGGGCACGAACCTTTAAATTGTGCCCCCACCAAGTATCAGTTGTCTCTGGCAGAAGCCTCCAGCCTCACCAACCCACCACAGAAACCCTGAGGTCCCCAGCCTGCCCTTAGTCTAATGGGTGGAGAATGGGGGCTCCATGAGTGGCAATTAATTATAAAAGATGCGCATGTGGCTTGCTAGTCACAGCTTGGCCACCTGTGCTGTACTATGCCTGGAATCGTAGGCTGCTACCCTTTATTTTATCCCATAAAAGGTAAAGATCATATAAAACTAACTTTCAGAGGGTATTGCAGGTACACTAAAATGGCAGGGAAAACAAAATTTAATTCTATGCTATTTTGGATAGGCTATATACCTACTTGTATGCATATCCTTTAGAAAGTGTTTAATCTGTCTACCCAGGTCAAAGCTGTTCGAACAGGATGAATTTTCAGATCTGGACCTCCGATTCAAATTTACCAGTAAGTGTAAGATAGCAAACAGATTTTTTTCTAAACAATATATTTACTTTGATCATAATTCAACAATTACATAGGCACCAGAGGTTTCTTGGTAATCAGCAGGCCCTTTTCAAACAAGAGGGTAGCTAAGGAGATCTTATCATCCAAGGTGTCACATGGAAGGGTATCCACACAGACATACTTAGGATATGAAGAAAGCAGAAACTCTATACCATCTGTAAACTCAGGATCTATCTCAAAGTATTTGGGTTCCTCCTTGTGGTACACTCTTGAGTTTTCTGTTGTGTAATACAGCAGCACACCATTTCCTTCATTACACAACCTAATGATGCCATGACGGAGCAGCCGTACCTGAGTCTCTTTCTTTATTGGTATATCAACATCACGAATGTCTCCATCTTCCCACCTGGCTGGAACACCATGTATACTCAGTGCCCTTTCATGCTCAGTTAGCACGGGAGGGAGGCAGTCATGAAGAAACAACTTTGCTTTCTGATCCACTGCAGCATCAATTGGTGCATAGTCCACTACTTTCTTTATCAAATTCTGTACTCTCTCTATAAAGGCATCTCGGCGAGAATCTACCACATCTGAATTCAGGACCCCCATATATTCTAGGTAATCTAGAGGGAGCCCTCGCCTGTACTCCACATCCTCTTCTATGGCCATCTGCAAGGCAGCTGGGAGGAGTTTCTCCAGCAGATCTCCCCAGGAGTTCCTCTGATAGGAAGAAACAGTTATGTGGAGTGAGTGTGCATCAGGAAGACAGTCCCCCTGATGGATAAATCCACGGGGAAAATAAAGCAGGTCCCCGGCTTCAAGTACTGTCTCCAAAATGGGCTCTCCAATCTCTTCCTGAGCAAAGTTACAGCTGGAGAACTGGGGCAACACCTCTGTATCATCCCTAGGACCATAAACCCGCCAGTGCTTCTTCCCTTCAAGCTGGATCACAAATGCTTCAATGTCATCGTAGTGTGGAGCAAAGCCCTGTGTTCCTGCAGGAGTCAGATAAGTGTTTGCTCCAGCCATGCTCCCAAACTGCTCCTGTAGGATGGAGAGGAAGTGCCATACAGTGGCAGAGAAGGCTTGTGGATTCAGCATCCGTAGGGAACAGCCATTCCTGTAGAAATCCCACACAACAGCAGGCAGCGCCCTACCAATAGGATTGTGGGTCTCCCTCGTCCCATCCACATAGCTTGTTACGTCCAAGTTGACCCCAAACTTAACAACATTGTCCCGCAGGATTGCATCAAAAGTGGAAGTGGAGAAGAGCCCCTGGTAATATGCTAGATTGCGTCGTTGGATCAAGAGGGGTTTCTTTTCCCAGCTCTGCTCAAAGAATTGCTGTGGAGAGATGGGTGCAATCAGCCACCCAAACAGCTTTGCTGCACGCTCTCTGCTGTGCTGGACCTGACCCAGCTCCCGGAGAAGGTCAAGCAGAGAGGGGCCAGTGACAGGCTCCTGGGACTCCAGGCTACTGTCCCCAGTCTCTGTTGCCACCAGTTTCTCCCCTGCCAGCTTTGGTCTAGAGTTTCCCTGCAGCCCCGAAGTTTGGCTTTGCCAAGGGACCAAAGAGCTGTCTCTATTCTTCCCTTTCTGGGGTCTCCCCAGCTTTCCTCCTGCTGCTCTCCGGCCAGGACCAAGGGCTCCGGGCCCCTCCTCCCTGCTGGGCCGCTCCCGCTAGACACGTCACCTCCGAGTCCGCCCCTCCCCAGCCCGAGCGCGCGCGCGCCCCAGAGCCCCGTCGCTGCCGCGAGCCCTCAGGGGTTTGGCTTTGGGATGGCGCTTTGCGGTTCCTCGCGGCCCGGGCTCTGGGGATCGTCTTTTGCAGCCCCGCTTTGCTTGGGGCTTTGCGGTTTGTGCGGGCAGCGGGCTGGGCTTCCCCCGCGCCGGGAGGTTTTCGGATCGCTCAGTTTCCCAGTTCCTGGGTCGTCGCCCGTGGGCCGCCGCGGACATTACGGAGGAGCCCCGGGAAGCTGAGTTCGGATCCCGCCCAGGAACCTGCACGGCGCAAATAATCGTCTTTTGCAGCCCCGCTTTGCTTGGGGCTTTGCGGTTTGTGCGGGCAGCGGGCTGGGCTTCCCCCGCGCCGGGAGGTTTTCGGATCGCTCAGTTTCCCAGTTCCTGGGTCGTCGCCCGTGGGCCGCCGCGGACATTACGGAGGAGCCCCGGGAAGCTGAGTTCGGATCCCGCCCAGGAACCTGCACGGCGCAAATAACCAGTTTAGCACGCTCCGGTGGTGCATCGTGGATAGTTTTGAAGTCTGAGTTTCAAGTAGTCACACCACAAGCAGAGGGTGTGGCGTGTCCTAGATCAGTGTCTCAACTTTTTTTTTAAATAAAGTATCCCTTTAAAAAAAATTATAAGTACCACCAGTACCTACAGTTTTCAGCCACACACTTTTTTTGCTACCATTTCAAGACGTTTGTTTAAACAATTTAATCGTAGCTGGGCAGATGATGAAATTTTGGGTGTAAAAAGTACAAAAATAATAAAGTGCAGTAAAATTTAAAACAAAAATTCAGTTTTCTCCAAATTTCAGTTGTGTTGACATACCCTCCAAACTTCTCCTGAGTACCTCTAAGGGTATCATAGAATCATAGAATACTAGGACTGGAAGGGACCTCAAAAGGCCATCGAGTCTGGTCCCTTGCCCTCATGGCAGGACCCAGTACTGTCTAGATCATCCCTGATAGACATTTATCTAACCTACTCTTAAATATCTCCAGAGATGGAGATTCCACAACCTTCCTAGGCAATTAACCACCCTAACAGTTAGAAACTTTTTCCTAATGTCCAACCTAAACCTTCTTTGCTGCAGTTTAAGCCCATTGCTTCTTGTTCTATCCTCAGAGGCCAGGAAGAACAATTTTTTTCCCTCCTCCTTGTGACACCCTTTTAGATACCTGAAAACCACTATCATGTCCCCTCTCAATCTTCTCTTTTCCAAACTAAACAAGCCCAATTTTTTCAGTCTTCCTTCATAGGTCATGTTCTCTAGACCTTTAATCATTCTTGTTGCTCTTCTCTGGACCTTCTCCAATTTCTCCACATCTTTCTTGAAATGTGGTGCCCAGAACTGGACACAATACTCCAACTGAGGCCTAATCAGCAAAGACTAAAGCAGAAGAATGACTTCTCTTCTCTTGCTCACAACATACCTGTTAATGCATCCCAGGCTCATGTTTGCTTTTTTTACAACAGCGTCACACTGTTGACTCATATTTAGCTTGTGGTCCACTACGATCCCATGATCCCTTTCTGCAGTACTCCTTCCTAGACAGTTGCTTCCCATTCTGTATGTGTGAAACTGATTGTTCCTTTCTAAATGGAGCACTTTGCATTTGTCCTTATTAAACTTCATCCTGTAGTTCTCATACCACTGATTGAGAAACACTGTCCTAGGTCAGTCTGAGTGCAGTCCCATCCCAGGTAAGTGTGTGGAAGGAAACCCCACAAGGCCTGTCCCTCGAATCCGAGTGACTTGCAGGGTGGCTGGGCATAGATGCTCCACAGAAGTTCTACTCCCCAGCCCTTTTTTACTTGCCCGCTCTAGTTCTGTGGCATATAACATTGTTACACATTACAACGATTAAACAAATACATTTGAGTGTATCTACATTAGTACTAAAAAGCCTCTGGAATTTACATAAGCACCCTCATTCTCCTCTTTCTGAAATAGGCTGGGCTAGTTTTGCAAGGCAATGCTTTTTTGCTCAGACTTGGCTATGAGTGGAGCAGGGCTGAGTTTTCCTGTGGCAGGAAATGGGAGGATGTTTGAAATGTGACATTTTGTCCTGATCCCTGGATCCCCTTCAGTTTCCATTGTGTATGGTCCATTACTTGGACTTGTGATTTACACTGCTAACCAAGAGCAGTTGTGATGCTGTTTCTGAGCTATCCAAAAGGAACTGGACTGAGATTCCTTCTCCTCTTTCAAGTCACATCATCCAGGCCACAAAATAGAAATCAGATGCTAACATCACTGACAACAGATGCTTGCTCTACTTATCTGAACTGGTTTTCCCTGGGGCTCTGCATCCTTGTCATGTGTTAAACCCATGACACATCCAACCTGCCCAGTTCACTGGTAATGTGTTTGGATGGCATTCCCAGGACAATCTTAGCTCAGATTTCCAATGATGTATGATTAGGACCATGCAATATTGCCAATCAAACATGCAAACTGAAGAAATGAGTGTCTGCACATTTTGTTTCAAATTCATAAAACTTTCATTCCACAAAGTTCCTTAACCTTGTGCCTTTTTGTTAAAAAAATAGAGCTTGTCGTAAATGAAAGTGGGTCTGTTATTGAGGGGGAAAAGCCCTCTGTTTTTTAAAGTTTAATTTTATTTCAGATGAAGATTGATGTTCATGAGTATTGATGAGAAACTAGCTGTGTCATGAAAAGGCAGAACATTTGGGGATGGTGGTGGCAGGGAAATGTTCCAGTATGCCAGTATTATTTTGTAAACATTTGCAGTATATTTTTTGTTATTTTTGCACACCAATTTTTGGGAATCTTTTTGTAATTTTCCTGGCTAGAATTATTTTTTTATGCAGAGCTATGGCATTTAAGGCCAAAAGCACCAGCTCATCTAGTCTCACCTGTATATCACAGTAACCAGACCAAAGTAGTAAAGTTCTCAGGAAACTAAACTGTTGTCTGCCCCCTGCAGAGAACAGGAGGGAATCCAAGGAGCATCAATGCATGAGGCCTCTGCAATGGCAGGGAATAGATACATGAGATAATCCTACCAAGTGACCTGTGCCCAAAGCTGCAGAGGAAATGATGAGTTGAAAATGATCAGCCTGACTAATCCCCTGTACACTCAAGGGCAGAAATGATAGAAAGACATGTTCAAGAATAATCTGTAAATGTTGTTTTAGAGCAGGGGTGGAGAAACTTTTTTGGGTTGGGGACCGCTAACCCCCAGCCAAGCAGATTGTGTGTGCTCTAGCCCCATAGTGGGATGGAGGGGGAGAGGACCATTAGAGTGCCAGTGCAGAGGGGGGAGACCTGAGCCTAAGGGGCGGGACCCCTGTTTTAGAGTCTTTCCATGAATTTTACTGCTTTCTCTAAAATACAAGTTTTCACTGAAGAAAATGAAATTTCTAATTATACTAACTGTGAAGAAAACTTGGTGTCTGTAACTTGAGGTGCTATTATTCAATTGATTAGAGGAAGCAGACCAAAAACAATACCAGTAAGGGTCGAATCTTTTCCTGTGCAGAAATAATTTAAACAGGGGTTCTGCACAAGGGCTAAGGGAATAGAATCCTTTCCCTGGGCTGTTGAAGATGAACAGAACCACTTGGCTACAGCAAATGCTACATATGGGACTACTATAAGGCTACAGCTACATTGTCTTTTTTTGTGGAAGAGGAATATCTTCTTCCGATTCTTTTTGCGGAAGAGGTTTTGCCGATAAAAAGCCCTGTGTAGACGGGGCCATTTGTTGGGGAAAAAAACCTCTTTCACAAGATCCTGTAAACCTCTATTTTTGAGAAATAAGGGATCTTGCGAAAGAGGGTTTTTTTCCGACAAATGGCTCTGTCTACACAGGGCTTTTTATCGGCAAAACCTCTTCTGCAAAAAGAATCGGAAGAAGATATGCAAATGTGAGCACGATTTATATATCCTCTTCTGCAAAAAAAGGCAGCATAGTCATAGCCTTCGTGACAAGTAAACTTGCATAATTATGTACCCGTTGATTGTGCCTCCTTCTGTAGCCAAGAAACCTTCCACACTATCACAGAAGGCATTTTCACAAAGCTTGTATTTACTGCTGATCAAGGAATGACAACAATACTGTGTGACTTAGGTGACAGACATGTGGTGCAAATTAGTACACACTTATTGTGACCAGTTCATGAACAAACCATAGATTGACATTTGTTTGCACCAACTAATCATCAAACAATTGCAGTTAGTGAACACATATGTAAAATCCATACTTTGTTCAAGGATAATTTGCAAAAAGAAAATAAGGAGGAGATGTATTTAATACATTGTTTTCAACTAGTTTTAGTTGTGCATCTGTATTGTTTGTTTAAACTTTATAGTATAGGTTGAACCTCTTTAATCCGGCTCCCTCAGGACTTGATTAGTGCTGAATCAGAGAATTTGCAAAACCATGGGAGGTCAATATTGTTTAGCAGCATTACCAACACTTCCACTGCTTACTAGGCTCTTAGAAGACATTTAAGAGTAAATTAGGGCTAAAGAACAGTACAGAATATTCAGGCACCAGGACTGGTGGCTGTAAACAAACTTTATGGAACCATAAGAAACGTGGCCACTCCCATGATAATGGACATCCGGCTAACTAAAATCATGCCTGACCACGGATGTTGCCAGCCCAGAGAGTGCCAGACTAAAGAACACCTGGAAAAGGGATGCAGATTAGACACTTTGGAATAGGCATATCCGCGGGGGATTTAAATATCCCCGCAGCATTTGCATTAACATGGCTGCCGCTTTTTTCCGGCTTGGGGATAAGCCGGAGAAAAGCACCAGTCTAGACGTGATTCTCTGGAAAATAAACCCTTTTCCGGAGAATCTCTCACTTTCAAGTAAGATTTGCCTATTCCAAAGTGTTTAATCTGCATCCCTTTTCCGGAAAAGGGGTGCAGTTTAGACACAGCCCTGTAGTATCTAAAGACCGTAATTGGCTATGAAGTATAAAGTAATATATTTGTATGAAAAATATCAAATAAGATCATATGACTATACTGAGTGGAGGTAGAAATATCTAACAGGTGTTTAGTAGGGGAGCAGGAGTCATTTCTTCTCAGTTCTATTTCCAATTCTGCTATTGCCTGACCAAATCTTATGAGCTTTAGTCATATGAGAAAGTCCACTGAGTTCAGTTAGATCTCTCATTTCAATTAGTGGGACCAACACTGAAATGCTGTGTCCAAGTCTAGTGTCTCCCCCCTTCAAAAGGTATGTTAAAAACATTGGAAGAACTCAGGAAATAGCTACAAGAATGATTGGAAGTTTGTATAATGGGAGGCTTAAGAAGCTCAGTCTACTTAGTTTATCCAGGAGACGATTAAGAGGTGACTTGATAGCAGTCTACAAGTACCCCCGGGAAGAGATTTCTGATAGCAGATGGCTGTTTACTTTATCAGAAAAAGGTGTAATAAGGTCCAATGATTGGAAGCTGAAGCTAGACAAATTCAGAATATCAATAAGGTATACATTTTGAGACGTGAGGGGAACTAACCATTGCAGCAACTTGTGTAGGGGCATGGTTGATTCTTGGTTTAAATCAAGATTGGCGGTTTTTCTAAAATATATCATAGAGCAGTTTTTCTCAACCAGTGGTATGAGTAACCATGGGGTACTCAGGAGAAGTTTGGGGGGTACGTCAACACAACTGAAATTTGGAGAAAACTGAATTTTTGTTTTAAGTTTTATAGCGCTTTATTATTTTTGTACTTTTTACACCTAAAAACTTCATCACCCGCCTGGCTATGATTAAATTGTTTAAACAAATGTCTTGCAATAGTAGAAACAAATGTTGTGTGTCTGAAAATTGTAGGTACTGGGAGCATTTATGTATTTATTTATTGGAAAAAGGGGTATTTTATTTAAAAAAAAGTTGAGAAACACTGTGATAGAGCTCAAAAGGAAGATACAAAACACTCCCAAACTGCTCCTGTAGGAATCACTTGGTGCAGTTCTATGGCTGGTGCAATTCAGGAGGTGAGACTAGATGATCTTATTATATATTAAAAGTGTTTTTAAATGCTTGTACAAAAAATGTTGCAAAAGGACAAAATATGTTTATTTATATTGTATTACTATTACTTTCCTGTAAAAAAAGCAACTCAGATTAGATCAACTCAGACTTTAATTAATACTAAATATATATCTGGGCATTTGATCAGAAATATTTCTTCAGTGATAGTGTAAAGAAGCAGTCACACAGTTCCTCATCCAAGGTTTCATCTTTGCCTTGATTCAAATTTTACTTCAGTTCTTTTATTTCAGCCATTTATGAAAATCTCTTCAAGGCCCTGGACACGAGAAGCCATTTTGTCATCAATGGACTCTCACCACAGCGATATGGCATCATGTATGAGTGAACGGTCAAATCCAATGGAAAGAGGACAGTCATCAGGATCACTTTGCAGAGAGAAGAATTCATTAAACCTCTTTAGCCCATGACAAAAAACTAGATGGTTACTTAGCTAAACCTCACATATACTTTATGGGGAAGGAGGTACAGGAAATCTGACTGATCCCCAAAGTCATAAAGACATCCCGTTAGACTTTGGAAGCTGTGTTTGACCTTTGGCTGAAAGCATGAAATATGTTTCAAAAACAGGATTTTTTTCCCTATGGCTGGTTTATCTGTAAATTAACCCTGCTCTGCAAGAGAAGTATATCACTTTCTTTCTCTATTATCATTGGTGTATGGAGGTGGTAGATAATGGGATATTTTTTACTGGACCAACAAATTATTTTTACATATATGACACAAACTTTGAAGCTAAAAAGTTTTTCTCAAACCCTTTTTGTCTTAAAATACAGTGAGCTAGCATAAATGAATCTTATTACCTACCATGAATTCTTCTTAAGAATGAAAAGAGCTACTTTTTTTTGCATGTCTTTTAATTAAGATGGATAGGTAGAATTAGGCTCTGCAGGAAAAATATCAAAAGCACAACATCAGTCTAATAGAACACCATAACCTCCTTCAATAATGTAAAAGAGAGGAAAGTATTTGAGAGACCAAGGCTAAGGTAGTTGAAGCAAAATGCAGGACAATGTAGCAGGTGAGTCACACCCTTGACTCAATCTCAGGTATTTAGGGAGCATATATTTCCTGACTGGAAACCACCTTCCTATTAATGTGCTACAATTTGGCCTACAAAAGGTTTTTCAAAGTATCATCAGGTGTTATTTTGGGCTGTGCTCAGTTACTTTGTAACCACACAGAGCCTGATGTGGGCAGACTTACTTTACAAGGTTATATTACACCTGGAATGGAATTTGAGTTGGGTAGGATCCAAGTTCTATTATATTTCTATTCAGACACCAAATTTTGTTTATAATGGAGTTGGGAGACTTCAGGTGCCAAACTATATCCTCTGAAGGAATTCCAAGAGCAAAACGCTCTGGCATTACATAGCATTTTATGCCAAATTCATTAAAGTATCCCCGTTCCAATCATCCTTGTCTGTTCTCTCCCAGGACTTCAGACTTTCCAAAATGATATAAATGACTGTAAACTTACACAAGTTTAGGGAAATACTCCCGTTTTTGAAATGTCTATTACACAATGTTAATTCTACGGCTAGGGGAACTTTACTCCCCTGTGCTCCCATGCAATTGTTATTTCAGCCATCAAGATTCACTTCAGATGGAAAAAGGGCTAAGACGTTTAATACATTTCAGTGTGTTTCTATGGTGAATCATTAAAGCCCTTTTGGTCAATAAAAAAATTTCCAAATGCCTCTCTGGCATACTATTATTATGAAAAGTTTCTTGAGGAGCTCAGTGAATCAGAGGACAAGTATCCTAGGTTGGTATTTTTGTAGAGCTCAGCACAAATCCTCTTTTGAATCTAAATACAGTTAGGCCCAATGTAGGCTTCATTGTTCCATGCCACAAAAGCCCTACTCAGTTTGGCATGCTGAAACATTCTGTGGCAGAGAGATCATAATTCCAGTAGCACAAGTTTGCTGTAATGTAGGATTTAGGCAATTCAACAGATCATTGATTGGGGAAACTTGCTCAGCACTTGCCTACACTGTATCAGACTTAAAAGAATGTTATTAGCCTTTTGCAGTCATGAATATGAAACCACAAAGACAATAAGCAGCTAAAATTCACAAAAGTATGCAGGAATCTTGTGCTGGATGCTTAGCAAGAAAGATGGGCCCAAGATACAAAATTCAGAGGTGAAATACTCGCTCCACTGGAATCATTGGGAGTTTTGCCATTGACTTTTGGGAGGCCAGTATTGTACTCCATGTCTGTATCTAGACTCCCACTTAATCCAAATTTCAGAGCTGTTCAGAGTAGGAATAATGATTTAGTCTAATACAGAAATAAGATCTAGTTGGAAAATTTATATCCAGATCTGGATCCAAAGTTCTTTATAATTCAGGATTGTTAGGTCTGAATCAAAATCCTAGTTCCAATTTCTAATAATAACAAACTACAATATATTGTACTAATAATATACATACAATAATCAATTGTGCTTTATTTTGGTGTGTGAGGTCAAATAATGGGAAGTTTCAGCTAAGTTTATCTCCTACTGCCAAGTAAACCCGGTAAGTATCAACAAAGAGCATCTATCCCTTATATTTGTTGCTTGAAAAACACGACAGCCAACAAATGTATGTGAAGCGTGATTGTAGGATAGCACTGTGAATATCATAAGTCACTCTTCAATGGCTAGTTGTAAACCATTCATTCTACTTCAGCTGTGATGTTTCTGACTACCCAGTTCTACCAGCTCTAGAAACTGTCCTTGTTTATCATTTACAGCAGGCACCAATGATATCAGATGTGCTCCAGAAGACTTTGTACTGGTAGCTACTGTGACCCAGCCAAAGAAATCTGGGGGTGTATTTTAGAATTCTTAAGACACCAGTTGCAGTGCACTGAGCAGAAACAAGAATCCCAGTGTGTCTACACTGCGCCCTTACTTTAAAATAGTTTATTTTTTGCACCAAATTTTGAAATAAAGTGCTATTCTGAAATGTCCTTTAACCCTCATGGAATGAGAGTTAAAGTGATGCCAGAATAGCACACCCGTGTCTACTTTTGTGACGGGGCAGCCCCCGCGACCAGTTGCAGTGCACTGAGCAGAAACAAGAATCCCAGTGTGTCTACACTGCGCCCTTACTTTAAAATAGTTTATTTTTTGCACCAAATTTTGAAATAAAGTGCTATTCTGAAATGTCCTTTAACCCTCATGGAATGAGAGTTAAAGTGATGCCAGAATAGCACACCCGTGTCTACTTTTGTGACGGGGCAGCCCCCGCGGCCCACGGGCGGGGCCGAGCGGCAGCCCCAATCAGCTGCGCCCGACTCCACCGCCGCTTCCCCAGCTGTGCCAGAGCGCCGGGCGCTGACACTGCCCATGGCGTCGACCCGCGCCAGTGCCCTGGCAGGCCAGCCGCCCCTGCGGAGGGGGTGTGCCGGCCCCACTAGGGAGGACGTCATTGCGGCGGGATGCTTAAAAGGAGCGCTGCCACCAGAGACAAAGGGGGGAAGGCAGACACGCAGCTGGGAGGAGGAAGCACCGACAGAGGCACCTCGGACCCCGTCTGCATAGACCCCTGAGACCCAGTCGTCACGGTGGCCCGGCGAGGGAGGTAGGAAACGACCCAGGCCAGGGTGCTGGAACCCGGGGGGTTGGTGTGTTTAGGGGGTTCTGTCCCCCACCAACCAGGACTGAGGGGATTGGCATATCCCACCAGACCTTAGGGCCCTGGGTCGGGGCTTGGAGTGAGGGTGGGCCCGAGCTTCCCTACCCCCCCTCGCGCCAACGCGGACGCCACTCACAGTAGACCAAGCGTGGACAGACCCTGTCAAACTCGGGACAGGGATCTTGGGTGATCGGGGAGCACGAAGAGGACGAGACCTCGGGTGAGGGAAATCGGAGGGGAGTGCGGAGGACCCTGCGTGGCCCTCGGGGAGGGCTGCGCCGACGCCGCGCCTCTCCACAACTTTAAAGACACGGAATAGCTATTTCGGGATACTTCTGATATCCAGAAATAGCTCCACAGTATAGACGTAGCCCCATTCTTGAAATAGCAATGACAAATAGGAGTCCAAGTGCATTATAAAACTGCTTTAGAGAAGTGATAGGATCAGGTTTGGGCAATTGTCTTCTTTGTTTAGAACACTAGAAAAAAGTGTATCTGTCTATTTTGCTAGATCTACACACAGATTTTGTACAAGTATAACTCTTTAAGATAGGGGTGTTATCAGTTTTTACCAAAGTGATTATACCAATACATCACTTAGAGTACGTCTAAATTGCACTCTAAAATTGAAATAAGATACGCAATTTGCATAGCGCAAATTGTGTATCTTATTTAGATTTTATTTCTAAATAGGTTATTTTGAAATTTGGCAAATCTAAAGCACTATTTTGACACATCCCTTATTCCTCGTGCAACAAGGTTTACAGGGATGCCAGAATAGCGCATCTATTATTTCAAAAATTATTTTGAAATAGCAGATACATTCCTTGGTAGCTATTTTGGGACATCTCCGATATCTTGAAATAGCTTTGTAGTCTAGATGTACCCTTAGTGTTCCATCTCAAACAGCAATAGTTATACCAGTATAAAGCTCCTTTATACTAACAGAACAGCACTGATATGGCTAAAGTAGTACAATTTTTTGTGCGTGTAGACTAAATCTTAGTTCTTGTCTCTAGACTCGTTAATTTTCTGGATGTTTGATATCTTGCCTGTAGGTGGCAGATCAAGAATAATATTTCATACATTTGTTTTGATAGTCTATATTCAAACATTATGGGGAAATTATTAGAAAAAATATATAATGTTGTAAAGGTAATATATAAATTTTCTGGCAGGACTGATAGTTTGCATTGGAATCTGAGTGTCATGAAGATGAAAGCAATGCATATATGTGCCTGCGAGTAACATTATATGATTTTATTGCAGCATGAATACTTGTAGATGGCAGCTTAGTATAGATTAATAGTAAGACATTTAAAAATCTCACCACTTAGATTATGTGGGAATTACTGCTGGAATTAGTCTAGTGTATTAGTCTTTCGCTGAATCAGAAGAATAATTTGAATGACTATACTGAAATTTTTCTGGTTACCACTGTAACTCAGATCAGAACCTAGCTTCTCAGCTCTAACATTAAAGTTTGTCAATTTCTACCAGCATAACTCTTAACTTTCCAAAACCCAAAACAATTGACACAGGCCTTTTTTTAATATATGGCCAAGACCCAAAACGAAGGCTATAATGAAAAATAATGGAACTGGAAGCTTGAATTGATAGGGAGTTCTTGTCTCTCATTATGTAATGTTTTCTATTACCTGGTTTTGAGGTAATGATGTCAGTAATTTACAGAAATAAACATGGAGTTAACTAGTTCTCTATAGGACAGAGGACGATGAGAATTTAACTGAGCCTCAGCTGTACCTGCTGCATCTTCAGGATGGCTAAATGCCTTGTAATTTTAATGTTGGATATGGTGTGTAGATATAGTGCTCCAAACTCACCTGGAATGAATTTGGCCTATTGTTTCTGGTTACCTTTTCAGACAACTGTACCAGTTCTCCTAAGACTAGGCTTATCGGTTAATCTAGTCCACTACTTGCATTCCCTCCCCTTGCTGCCTCTGTATCAATGGCAGCAAGGGGGGGAGCAGGAGCTGGTGTTGGGGGGAGCCATCTTAAAAGCTGGTTCCCCCCAGCACCAGCTCTACGGTGCCACCTGTCCCCCTTCTGCGCTGCTGCCTCTAACAGAGGCAGCAGCACAGGGGCGGGGGGGGGGGGGGGGGGGCCTGCCACAAACCAGCCTCTGTTCGCGGTGGACAGAGGCTGCTTCAGGACAGCCTCCCCAGCCCCTAACTGCCTCCTCAGCAGCTTCTCTTTGCAGGGAGCTCAGACTCCTCTTGGACAGGAGGGGCTTCTGCCACCTTGCACTGCTGCCTTTGTATCAGAGACAGCAGCACAGGGCAACAGGCAGCTGGTCTGTGAGGGGAGCTGGTATTTAAACTGGCTCCTCTCGTGGACTGGCTCCTACCTGGCATCCTGCGCTGCTGCCTCTGATAGACAGGCAGCAGCGTGGACTGGCAGGGGACTCCCTGGGAGTGGAGCCAGAGCACACTGGCTGCTGACCCCATTCCCTGGGAACTACAGAACAGTCGACTAACTGCTAAGAATTCATGTATTTAGTCAACTGTTCAATTAACTGATAGCTAACATCCCTACTTTGTGCACGTTCATATCTTCAAATGGGTTTGTGTTGCTCTAGAACCCGTCTCACATGAGGATTGGGAGTAACTCTGGCTTCATAATATTTGGATAGGAGGAACACAAGGCCGATCATGGAGGTTCATTATTGAGGACCAAAGTCTGCCTCCTCTGTGTCATGGAAAGCTCCAGATGCAGCCGAAGCACAGGGCTATCCAGGAGGATGGAGTGTTTTCAGGCACAAAGAGATCTGCAGTCACTCTATGGGGTGGAGCTCATTTCTATGACAATATCCCCTTTGTTGTTGTGCAGCAGGGTTGGGGTGGGAACAGGAATGTGCCAGATAAGAACTATGAGGGGGATTAAATAATCCACTGCTACAGAGTTTCACCAAGCAGCTTGACTCCCTCTGCAGCTGGAGAAAGTGCAGAGTGGTTACAACCAGATAGCCTATGAATGACTCAATGCACGGGAGATCATTTTGATTTCAGGCAGGGAAAGGAAGCCTAGCAAGAACAAGTCACAAGAGCTGTAAACACTAAAACCAGAGGCTAAGAACCATAAACTCAGAGCTGTCCTTGCTCTCATTGATATGCTGTTATATTTGGCAAACGGAAAGAATAATGTAATTTAAAGCTTTTTTAACTGGAGGAAGCACAGAATTTCTGTGAATGAATGGGTAGTGTTCAGCAGCTGCTTGCACATACATACCGGCAACAGGAGGTTTAATTAAACATTGTAATTAGAGCTTAGCACAATGTTACTTCAGTTTTATGAGTATATAAGCCTCATTGCCAAGAGCCACTTACATTTTATTTTATTTAAGAGGTCAAAAAAGCATGTTGAGTAACTACTTATTAGAAAGCCACAAGTGGCTTCTGAACAGGGGGGTATTAATGACACTTCAAAGAGATTTGTTTTTTTTTTTAAACTGTATTCAGGGGCTCTCTGTCCTGAGAATTGAAATCTTGAGTTTTAAAATGCGATACTTAATTCACAGAGAGACTGATCTTGCCATGTATGAGTGCCCTTAACTTTTGGAAGTGGAAGTTGTGTGGTACCTGGATTGGTCCCATGATGATCAGTCTAATTTTTACCCTTTGTACTGGAAGTGCAAATCTGCTTTAAAGTTGAAATGCATTTGGCAGGCCCAAAGTAGGCTTTATTTTTCCACACCATAAAAACCATACTCATTTCACTATAGAGTAAATTGCTTGGCACATCCTCCTTTTTGGTTTCTGTCAAAGCTCTTAATACCATTCAGTCACTTTTAGAAAGTCAGATTAAGTCACATTCTTTTTCTTGTTATTGCTGCATCAGCAACCTGCATCCTACACTGCCATTTTTCCTCTAGCACCAAAAGCGATGCCCACCCTAGAAGAAGAGCATTTCAAGCCTTTTGCAGTAGGTTTCCATAAACCAAGAGCCCTGACAATCTTTTCCATTCAATCCAATGACACACGCTGTGTCAGCACTGTCAGGACATGGTCAGGATTGTGAAATCTGCTCCTTATTGTGGTCCCTGTAAAGTCCACAGCCAGATAAAAAGACTAAGAGCTAATTCAAAAGCCTGTTTCTCAAGAGCTATTCAGTAATTCTCCCCCTCCATCTGTATGAATGCACTCACTCAGTGAAGCATCTCTTACCAGTAATATTGGCTTATCTCCAGACACAACTCTCTCTCTTCTTAGACATTTTTCTTATTCTCTGTTGTCTTTAATCCTGGTTTTCTTGGACACTGAGCCCAAG